CATTGCTGCATGTAGCTGTGTGGTGCTGCATTCAGTTGAGGGGGGCAAATGGGTTACAGAGACAAAGTGTTCGCTTAAAAAAAGGGATGGATAGTGTTTTAATGTTGGGAGAGACCACGTGTCTCTGGTCTGTAGACACATGTGTAGGCAAACATGTTTCTTTAAAAAATATGAGAGATATTATTGTGAAGTCAGTTCAATGTCTCCTTCCACTGCATAAAGGTAAGCAGTTGAAAGACTATCACCCTTTCAGGTTTATAAACCTATTGTTGACAGTATTTATATGTACTTGAAAGCCATTTGTCTATTTCATTTTCATTTTTCCTATCAACCTAGTCCTTTACATGATATTCTAAAGCACTGACTGTCATTGGCTCATTGTTTTTGGTATTCTATTTCTTTTGTTTGGAGTTAATTTTTTTTCTCCTTTTTCTTTCTGGTGGGAATACTGGAATAGTATGTTTTACTGCAGATAAGGCTTTTTTCTGTATGTTTTTCAAAGGTATGAATATTGTGTCTTGTTATACACAGAACTTTTAGCCATGTTTGTAGGAGTAGAATGGGAGTTTACATAAATCTGAACCTCAAGTGGGGGGGTTAAAACAAAGTCATGAGAGGAGGAGAGATTCTGAATTTCAGGTAATCATACAATCATAGAATCACAGAATGGTTCGTTTTGGAAGGAACCTTAAAGCTTATCTAGTTCCAACTCCCCTGCTATGGGCAGAGACACCTTCCATAGACCAGGTTGCTCAAAGCCCTGTCCAGCCTGGCCGTGAACACTGCCAGGGATGAGGCAGCCACAGCTTCTCTGGGCAACCTGTGCCAGGGCCTCACCACTCTTACAGTAAAAAAGCACCTTCTATATATCTAATCTAAACCTATCATCTTTCACTTTAAAGCTGTTCAAACAGTTCTTTGTAGTAAACCAGCTGTGCAAGCAGTAGAAGGCCTCTAGCTCAGCATTTCTGAAATGTGATTGTCAAAACTTTAGGAAATACAGGGGAAAAAAACCTTTTCATTTGAAGGATAGTAGCTGTGCTGTTTGATTGGTAGTGATGAACTCGCTGTTTACATCAGAGATGATGTTGGTGTATTTAACATTGCTTTTAATTTCATGGCTCAAGTATGATGAGGTGTCCTCCATTTAGTTGCTGTTAGAGCTAACAAGGGGCAAAGTTTTGTTTTAAAAAAGGCAAAGTGCTGACAGCAGATGAGACTGACAAGTTTCTTTAGTATTGACTCGAGAACAGAGTTACAAAAGTAATAGGGTGATATTTTTTAGCAGCTTTGAAACCATCATCACAGGTTAATAGCCATTGGAGAAGTATGTGACACAGTGTATAAGTGTGTTGTATACTTTGTATATAACAAAGTATATGTAGTACATATACTACATGGGAAAGTACACATTTAATGCTTGTCTCCGAGGTAACTTCAGAGGGTTGTGACTGTTCTGTCTTTAGTTTAACACTAGTGAAATTTCTCACGTGTTTCAATCCAACTCTTTGAAGTCTGGTATTAAATTATAGTATGGTGTTGAATGTTCATAAATGATAGCTGTGTTCTGTACCCTTGATGGCTCTCTTCCTTGGTGAATAAAATCAATCTTGGTTATCCTTGTGTACCTCTGTATTTCTGCAAGGTATAAATTTCTTCTCTGTGAGAGAGAGAAGGGGAAAGAAAAGTGCAGGTCTGACGGTAATGAGAGCGTCATTATATTGGGGAAAAAATGTGCTGGAACACATTAATTACCAAATGGTTTTTTGCTTGGAAATTCTGGCCTTGGGCACAGAGAGGAACTGACTGTCAGGCAAAGCTGTCAAGTGAGTCAAAAGTCATAAGACCTCAGGCATGTGCCCATACATATACACAGGTGAAGTGATTGCTTTGTTTCCTCTCCTGGACTTGGAGGACTTGCTTTACTCTTAGATCCAAGGTTAAATATAAATTCTGTATTATTTACATATTTTTCTTTTTGGTAACGGGCGTAGTAGGATTTTTACTGTAGCTTCTGAGTTTTTTACCTCCTCTTGGATTTTGAAGAGAAAGAAATACTCAGGAAAAAATTCTAACTACGGATTGACAGTTCTGTGAAGGTGGCAGTCTGCAAAAGGCTGCCTGGGAGTTCTGCATCTACAGATAGAGGTAAGGAGCTTGAGGTATAGTTTTATGAAGGTTTTTTTTTTGTTTTTTTTACAGCACAGTTGTGAGGCTGCATCAGATATTGATATTTTCACAGCCTTAATGGTAGAGTTGGCTTTAGAGGAAACATGCTGTCTTGAGGTGGGGACTAGTGGTGGTCATACAGAGTTTGTGGAATGCTTAGCATGTGTAAATGAGCTCTAGGCTGAAATTTTTCAAAACTTGGAGTCATTTGGTTATTTACAGTTTCTTCTTGTCTCCCTAGTAGGCTGTGCCAGGTTGAAGGTGGCTGTTGCTGTTAGCAAGGTCTAGGAGTTGTTTTGCAGATGACATTATGTTCTGTGGGTGCCTGTCCCAGCAGTGAACATTGGGAAACCTGCATTTGGTTCCAGGTTTCCCTTGTGATCTTCTGCAAGGCATATAATCTTTCAGTGTCTTGGTTTCATCGTTATTTATATACATTAGTTATAAACTAATATCTGGGAGCAACAGCTTGTTGTGAGCAGCATGTTGATATTTATTGAACTTTTCAGAAACCGGTGTAAGTAGCAAAGACTTGTGAAGCGTGTAGGAAGAGGATGTCACTACTTCATAGGGGCTGGGATTTTCTGCTTTCCTGAATGTTTTGATAAATAACCAGATCTTTCCTGGTTTCCTGCCAATTCATTTTTATTTTTGATGATGTCTGCGGAAGAAGTTCTTCCCTGTGAGGGTGGTGAAGCCCTGGCACAGGTTGCCCCAAGAAGCTGTGGCTGCCCCATCCCTGGCAGTGTTCAAGGCCAGGTTGGATGGGGCTTGGAGCAACCTGGTCTAGTGGAAGGTGCCCCTGCCTGTGTGTGTGTGTGACAGATGGAGGATAGGGTGAGACTCTAGGAGATCTTTAAGGTTTCTTCCAACCCAACCCATTCTATGGTCCTGTGATTTAAGGGATATTACTGATACAGCATCCTGAAAGCACTAGGGGATCTTCACTGTGTACTACCGGAATTCACACCAGTACTACCTGAAAAAGGTCTGTTAGCTTTTTTATTTGTATGAGGATTCCTAGACATTTCCATAAGGAGAACAGATCGTATTGAAGTCAAAAGGTGTAATTAGTGTCAGTGTCAACCAAACACGGGTTTGTAGTAGAGGTCTAACTAACTTATTTATTGCACCATACAAGTAGCAGAACATCTTGAGATAATGTGATGGTACTAATTTGTAAATTATGCTGTCATACATCAAAGGTTTTGAGAAGATAATGAAAATATGTGTAATTAACATTACATAATGGGTGTTCACAAAGTAGTTCCAGAACATAATTGGTCTTTGGTGTTCATTCTGAAAATGGTAGCAGCATGAAGGATAAGTTATAGGGAACGGTCTTACCCTTGGGTATAAGGACCCTCTTCAGGCTTGTGAAGAGATACTAGTCCTGACATGTTTCATTGAATTTACTATTCCAAATTTGAGATTGTTTTGATGTGAGCAAACCAGGCCTGAGGCATATGACAGCTGTTTGTTTTCTTGCTGGGATTGCAGATACCAGTGAGCAAGTATTACAGGATTAATATTATGTCATCAAATAGCATCACAAGCTCCCAGGAGTACGCAACCTGTCACAGAGGTGCAATGAAATCACCTGTTTCCTGAACACCGTGTTCCTTCATGCTGAGTGAACAGTCAGTTCTGATGCTGCTTGCTCCACTATCACCCGTATGCAGTTGCTCTGCATACCAGGCACCTCCTCTGATAAATACATCTGATGTTTTTTTCGTCTTAACTTCCACTTGGGTCAGTCAGGGTTTTCCCAGCAGTGATGCTAAGCTGTTTACAATTCTTCTCAAACTCCTACTTCCAAACATCTTTAATAGTAACTAAGCAACAATGAATATTTCACAGAACAAGTACGACAGATTTGAGGTGTTTATTTTGGCTGTGTTGTATTAGAACCAGAACTTCTAATATCCATTTGAGTTTTGTAATGTAGATATTTTCTAGGTCTCTCCTGAGACCAAAGGTGATGGTCTGAGGTAGTGACAATGTTTGAAGAATATTTATCCACTTGTGGCTGGGTGTTTCTGTTCTTTAATAGTTGTGAGTTCTGGTCAGTGGTGATTTTGGTTTCACCTGCACTGTTTGATGTGTTCTTAACATACCTGGATGTTGAGGTATCGGTATGGAAGGGAAAGTACCAGTTATTTATTGTAATTGCTGTAGATATGTATCAATGAACTTGCATTTTGGTGTGTTCTGGATTTTCTTCAGTACTTATTGGTCTATGGGAAGCTGATGTTGTGGTAGGGAATGGAAAAAATTTTACATGGTCAATTTGCAGGAAAAATGCATATATGAAAGACTCAGAAAAGTTAGTAAGAGTTTTTCAAAATTCTGGTTTTGGTAGGTTCCTGTCCACCCAAAAACATGAACATAATGCATGTGAACATATGAGACTAATCAAATTATAAAGAATCTCCACTAACCAAGACAGCACAGCACTTATTAAATACCCAGGACATTAATGCAACAGTCATTTGAAGTTTGTGCTGTTCTAAATCATGTGCTGATATATGATGAGAATGTTATAAAACAGAGGGGCAGTGCTGTTATGGAGTGGGCAGTAATACTGACAGTCCTGTTTAGAAAGGCCGAGCCTTTCTGAATGAAATACCCTGATGGTTAGAAATGGTTACCAAATTTTGTAACCCATTCACAGCTATTTCCAAATCTATAAGCTACGTACCTGAAAGGTTACTGGGGAAGTGCTGGAAACCAGCTCTGAATGGGATTAATTATTCATGAGTGTATTTTAATATCAGCTTTCATAAGTAACTAAGGATTCTTGCTTTATTTCCTTTCTTTTTTATGCTAGTTTCTCCTTCTGACTTTGAGAGCGTTGCTCTTGAAGGGTATCTGAACGGCGAGCTGATGAACGAAGACATACGTATCCATAGCTGGCCTTGTTCTTACTACCTAGACTCCAGCAAACAATGGGTCTCTGGCAGACTCTCACTGACTCCTGTTGCGATCAGATTTACAGCTGACAAGACTGGGGAGCTTTTGGTCAACTTCCATCTTTCTAGTATCAGTGAGATCAAGAAGGAATCTTCAAATTTAATCTTCAGCTCCCTTACCATCTTAGAGAAGAAGACCAAGCACTGGTTTAGTTCTCTGCAGCCCAATAGAAATGTGGTATTCAACATCCTTGAGCACTTCTGGAGGGAGCAGTTGCTGTCAAGCCAAGATGCAGGAGCGGAAGCAGCAGCTTTGCAAACAACAAAGGGAAAAGAACTGACCGGGTTATTGACTGGCTCACAGAAACGACTGGAGGACACAGCAAAAGTGCTGCATTACCAGGGTGAGCAGTTTGATAACATCATGAGAGGACTCAACAAGATCGAAGGGGATATGGATGTAGCAGACAGGTATGATAATGGAGCATCCTCTGAGCTAAGCAGTGGTTGTGGGATTGCATTGCTTATGCCTGAATTTTATGGGGCTGATCCATGGGAGGTCTTTAGAATTGTAGAATGGTTTGCATTGGAAGGGAACTTTAAGTTCATCCAGTTCCAACCCCCCTGCCATCGGCAGGGACACCTTCTACTAGACCAGGTTGCTCAGAGCCCCATCCACTCTGGCCTTGAATGCTGCCAGGGATGGGGCAGCCAGAGCTTCTTGGGGCAGCCTGTTCCAGGGCCTCACCATCCTTCCAGGGAAGAACTTCTGCCTCAGACCTCATCTAAATCTCCCCTCTGTCAGTTTAAAGCCATTCCCCCTTGTCCTGTTCCTACCTGCCCTTGCCAAAAGCTCTTCTCCAGCTTTCTTGTTGTCCTCTTTATGCACTGGAGGCTGCTTTAAGGTCTCCCTGAAGCCTTCTCTTCTCCAGGCTGAACAAGCCCATCTCCCTCAGCCTGCCTCAATAGGAGAGGTGCCTCAGCCCTCTGATTATCTTTGTGGCCTCAGGACTTGCTCAAACAGGTCCATGTCCTTTTATATTGGGAAACTAAACTGTTGATTTTCCTTGAAAGTTCAAGCCCACAGTGGTCTTTTGTGGATCTAGTTCTTGTTATAAGATGTTTCTGTGTTTTTGTCCTCCCTTCTGTGTGATATTTTTTCATCTTGGTGAAGCTGTCTGTACATACGTCCCTGTTCTCTCTTTCAAATAACTTTCAAGCCCTTACAAGTTTCAGCCACAACTGGCAGAAATGGTAGAGATCGCCAAAATATGAACAATGTATAAGTTCTGAGAGAATATGCAACATTAGGGGAAATAGATGACAATTTATGTCCCCACAGAAGGATAACGTATGGCACTGGCATTTTTATTAGATATCCTGGAATATGCGTAAATGAAGAATACTGGAAGTTGGCTTTGGTTAATTTTGCCAGTCCTGGAGCAGTCTGTTTTGCTGTTCCACAGCAAGCACAACCACAGTTCTGCTTTTCTGATTCTTCTCAAAGGTAATGTTGAACATAGCAGGTGGGCTGCTGACTTGGAGGCAATTTCCAAGAGTTATTGGTTGACAGCTGCCAATTAATCTTTAAATAGATTGTACTTCTTTCTCTCTGCATGGAAGTCGGCTCTTGAGACTGCTTTTTGTATGCAGTGGGTAGTTGAGGGCTTTATACTTGTCCTTTTCCTTCACAAGAACTTACTTCCCAGCTACAGATAGCAGAGAGTATTGGGCCTGGTGCAGATGTAGTCAAGGAAATAGCTGCAGAAACAGTGCTCCCTCATTTGTGATACAAAACTGTACTACTTTTAACCTTACACGGAATACTCTCTGCCTTTAGGTCTAGGTGGAATAAATGTTTTGAGGAAAAAATGAGCAATGTTGAGCTGCACTGAAGTGCTTTGTCTGCAGTGGGGTGATGCAAGAACTGGAGAGACAGTGCTAGACTATTTGTAGTAATCTCAATTGAGCATTTAAGACAGTGTATTCATTAAACTTAGTCACCTAAGTGCTACCTTTACACAACTGAAATAAGAGATTTGGAGCACATTTGAGATGTTGCTTAACTTTAGGCTTTGCAGAACTCAATGTGAATAGTAAGTGGTTGGTGTCTTGATTAGAATATTATGACTTCAATTCACTTTGAATGTTAATCATTATTCTATGATTCTAGGATCTATCAAACCTGTATGCTGCAGGTTTGATTTGATAGCAGTCCAAAATAGACAGTAAGGTTGAGAGTAGTATTGTAATATTTGAAGATACATAGTTATGAGTGTTTTTGTAGAAGCTCTCACAGCTGCATGAAAAAACAAATGCAATATATTTCAAACCAGTTCTTTTTGGAAGAAGCATCTGTTTTTAGACAGATATGTCTAAAAGCAAGTGTTGATTTCACAATGGTTCTGGTGATATTATGCATACCCTTTAATGAAAAGCCAAGATAATTGAAAGCTTCAGCAATAGCTTTTAAAGTTCTGTAGCAATAAACAATGAGTAGGAAAATAAATACCTGCTCATTGTTTTTGGAAGAGAGTTTTGTTTTGGGTTAAGATGCACTGGGAGGTATTATTTGTCCTCATGAATCTGACAAGCGAGATGCTTTGATTTAAAAATGGAAAAATAAAGGAAGGCATTGACTAAGTGTTAGCTGTTTTATCTAAAGTACAAAGAGGTTGGCCAGCTTGCAGGGTAAAATGCAGCCCAGAATCCATTACTGAAACTGTTCTAATCACCCTATGCTTTTCTAACACTTAGTTTTCTGGTGTAGTTTGTTTGTAGTTTTTCTCATGAAGCTGCTTCTCAGCCCAAAATCTTCTCTTAAACTGATAACATCTGTCTTCATGTCCTTAACCAGTGTAGGAAATAGGGAAGATCATGAAGCTCATTTGATTGTTACATATGAGGTAATTCAGCCTATTAACATAAATGGGCTCATGTCTGTAAAGCTCTTTGACTATTGCTTTCTTTAGAAGGTTGATGAGAGAAATAACTGCATGAGTAATACCATACAGGACTATCTTCCATGTGTAGCGGATTCTGTGCAGAAAGAAACTTTGGTAAGAAACTTCTGTACCTGCTAGTTCAACAGCACCAGTTTGATGGTATTGTCTTTCGTAAGAAGAACCAGGCTCCTTTATCGCCTTTCATATGTTTAAAACTTTGATTAACTTTATCTTGCCTGTATATGTGGGCTTTTTTTGATTAATTCTGTTCTTGTGTATGCCTGGGTATATACAGCTGCTGTCAGTGGACCTGTGTTCAGATAAGCAGAGCCGAATGTGACGTTCTAGGAGATGTTCAAAGACCAAAAATAAACAGAAACCCAGATTCACTGGTTCTTTTTAATATATTGCTATTAGATGACAAGGTACTTTGGTTGCAAATTTTCATTTGTATATACAGACAGGTCATATAGTTTGTTGATACAGAGGTGTGACTCTTACGTGGAAGGCCAGAGAAGTTGGCTAGAGCCGTTGTTAGGGCTGTGCAGCAGAAAAGCCTTGACTGTAAATCAGACATTGCACAGCTGGGATGTCAGTCCCTGGGGAAAGAGGGGAGGAGGCAGGAGAGTGAAAGGATGAAGTGATAAAAATTAAGGTACAAAGCTACTCAGAGTAAGTTACCATAATGTAAACAGAGGTTTAGATTTGTCATGTTGCAGCTGCTTTTCAGAAAGTCCATGAACACACATGTTCTTCTCACGGTGACTATGATGGAGTGAACCCATATTGCTGTAGGAATTTAATGACTTTTCATAGGTTAAGACATAGGCATAAACTGTCACTGTCCTGAAGTAACTTTTTGTAAGTCTTTCATACGCTTAAGAGGACAGAAAAAGTGCTTTGTGTTCTGTAGAAATGAGATCAGGTCGTTTGCTTAGTTACAGTAGGTAGGTTAGAGCATAGCATGAATTTGGAAGATGATGTGTGCTAGTAGAGCCTTGGGCTTTTCCAGTCATTCTCTGTGTTGAACTTAAGTTGAACCTCATAGTTTCAGAATTAATCCCTAAATCTTATGATACTATGACATTTAAAATTCTGTTACTGTAGAACATTTTACATCTCCTTTGGTCTGTTTTCCCTACCCCTCACCCCCTTTTTTGAGGAGTGTCACAGCATTTCCAGAGGGCAGTGGTGAGCTCCAGAACTGTTATTTATATTGCATTCTATCTACACAAGTACCTGATGTTCATGTTTTAGTTGGGAGTAGATTCTTAGAACAGTTCATTCTGCCTCTGCTATTCAAGAACTAAGTGGTTGACTCCCAATATGAATTTTTCTGCTTTTCCTAGCAGATGAATTTCTTTAAGTAGGTCTGCTTTGAAGCCGGTGCAGAGCTTTGATGGCTAGTAAACAAAACATATTCAGTCAGAGCTTTCTCTTTCAGATTAGACTTTGTCTGCAGCCAAATTAAACAGGATTTTAAAATTGCAAAGTCTTCCGTGTGTAGACACACTCTGATTCTTATGGAAAATAAATTGCTACAAAAAAGATCTTGAGAGCAGCACTGTTGTGATGTGTATTTGATCAGGGAGTACCTTTCTAGAATAAACTTAAAAGTAAATTAAATCAAGCTGGCTCTCTAAAATAGCAGTAAAGCAGTAGTAGTTTGTATTTTGGTCTCATACGCCTTACATCTCTAGGATTTAAGTCAGTAAATAGTCTTTTGTAGTAAGAGGACAGTTTTTCATTGAAGATTTTATTACATGTAGGCTGGCCTCATTAGAAGTATCTACTACAACTACCATGCCAGTGGCATATTCCTGATCACTGGATAGTCTTTAAGGTATTGATGGGGATGGGGGAACAAACAATTCTGATCTGGATTGAACTTCCTTAGAGCTAATTTTTTTTTTTTTTGGTTGATTTAAACATAACCTCTTCCATCCTATTAGTTAATTGAGAATTCATTTGTGCCTCCAGAGACTGCTTTCCTGTCCTGCTCTGTGGCTGAGGAGTGGACTGAGAAATCTCCATTTAAAACATCCTGATCAGGCTAATTGCCTGCAGCCTAGTTTGGTTTGTGGGATGCTTCCAGACAGCTCACTGCTGTTTTCCAATGGGAGCAGGGTAGGGTTTGGGCAGTCAATAATTCCCAGAGGGTTGATTTGCCTCTTCCTATGCCTGCCTGGAACTGGAGATGAGCCGCTTTGGCTCAGATGTGAGGTGCATGCCAGAGGCTGTTGGTTGGTGAGAGAGGAGGTGACTGGTTGCACTGTGGGAGGGAAAGGCGGATACAAAGTTTTTGTTAGTTGCCTGTGGAGATGTCCTTGGGCCCAAAATTTCTTTCCAGCCATTAAAGCAGAGTCATCCTGAAATACAGGATCCTCTGCAAGCAGGATGGGTTTGGGTAACAAGCAGGGCGTGAGAGGAAAGAGAGAAATGCAGCATCATAGGTGCTGACTGTGGCTCTGCCGTCACCTCCTGTCTAGACCTGGTGAGGGATGGTAACAGACAGGAGCACAACACATGAAAAGTCAAACCAAAACCATCCCCTTTCCTCTTGCTCTCCTTTCCTCTTGCTCTACTTTTTCTTTTTCTTTTTTTTTTTTTTTTTGTTTGTTTGGTTTTGGTGGAAAGAGTAGTGGTCAGGCTTAGACCCAAAGACCCCGTGATCATGATCCTTTCTTGGCAGGGGACCCAGAAAAGGGGAATGGGCTATGCTGATAAAAAAAGACAACATGAGGATTGTGTCTTCTATGTCACTGATTCTTCCTAACAGTGTTGCATCGTTTTTGCTTGCAGCTGGTAAACTTGGCTTCCTGCTTAGGTGCATGTTCTTGCTTAGGAATAAGGAGCTTGACTCCTGTGTTATTTCTGTCTATAGAATGGTCTTCCTGGGGAGCAGTTGCTTAATTGCTCCATAAAGTCAGTCTGGTTACCTTTAAGCTAAGGCACCAGTTCGCCAGCAAGAAGGCCTGTGTTTTTCAGGAGCTACACCAACACTGATGGTGAGGCAGACTCTGGATGCCTGTGGGAGTCTCTGCTGTGCTTTTCAGCCTCAACCTTTCACTCTTAGTGTTTTAATGGTAATTTGGGAGTGGAGGCAAAGCAAAAGGTGGCATCAGACTATGGGGCTTTGGTATAAAGGAGCAGAAAAAGGCAGTGGTGCAGATGGCCAAGTGTGGAAATATTGAGGTAAATGGCAGTGTTAGCTGAAGAACAGATGGGTGTAAATTGGCCTGAATAATCCAGTTGAAAGTTGGATTTCTTGCATCAGAACAGTGAGATTCTGGGTCCCCTTTCCAGTGTGTTAGCAAATGAAGGAAAGCTGTTTTTTGAAACAGATGGATCCTGGTAAGCTGTGAATAGGTTTGAGGAACAAAGTAAGAGGGCTGTATTCAGTATTAATAAATCTTTGTCTGCTGCAATTTGCCTTGAACTGGAGGGGTAGCACGACCTCCCTACTGGCTTTGACTCTGCTAACACTCTCTTTTCTCTGCTAGGTTGTTGACTGAGCTCGAATCTCCTTCTTGGTGGCCGTTTAGCAGCAAGCTTTGGAAAGCACCGTCGGAAACCAAGCCAAAGGAAACTGCCACAGTTTCCGATTCGAAGAACCAGGAAGGAATCGTAATTAGAATTCCAGTTATTATCACCCACAGAACAGACTCAAATGTCAAGCCAGGAAAACTCACGCTCTTTGCTTCTGGCCTGGAAATCAGTGACTGCAATTCTCAGGTCATTCACCGTTTTGAATCAAAGGAGGTAGATGATATCAGAGTTCATACGCCATATGAAATCAGTGTCCGTCAGAGATTTATCGGGAAGCCAGATACCTCTTACCGGCTTTTGTCAGCAAAGATGCCAGAAGTAATCCCCATCTTGGAGATGCAATTTAGCAAGAAGATACAGTTTTTAGAAGATGCCCTAGGTTTTGCTGGTGCCAGGAAATCTCCTCAGGTAGATTTGGGGACCTCCATTTGGCAAGCAGGTATGTGACAAAGCAGTCTATCTATAAGAGTAACACTAGCACCAAAAATTTCCAGGTGGTTTTCAAACTCAAAAGTGTGTAATAGTTGCAAGGCAAATCCGCTTTCCCTTGTCCCAGTGTGAGACAACATTGATGATAAAATGCAAGAAATAACTGGTCCGTGACCTTAGACCCTACTGTGAAGAGGGAGAGGGCAGAAATGACAGAAGTGTGTGGCCCTGCTTTAGTCTAGTTGGATTTTCTTTCTTACAGCTACATTAGCAGAACCTGTGACTGTAGATGCTGAAGCTGAGTGTCCCTCAGGAGCTTAGCAGCTGGATTGCACTAAGCCCTCTTTAACATTGTGCTCTCAGCTGATGTTGACACTAACTCCACACCACTTTGTGAAAGGATTAACTTAGAGTTTCAACTACTGGCCTGTGTTTCAACTACAGTGTCTTTATTTTTCTGGTGGTCACCAATTCAGTATTGTGCCACTCTGTGGGGAAGTAATTTGAAATAATTTTTCCTGATTGCATGCTTCACAGTCCTCTGTTGTTTTTCCTTTATAAGTTTGTAGCTGGAAGTATACTTATCTTAAATCTGTGATTCAGTTAATTGTAGTAAGTTTAAAATATATTTCCAGTCCAAGTTTTTTAAATAACATCTGGAATAAACACGTAAATTTTTCACATTTTAAAACCTAGAATTTTATTATTTGAGAAGTTCAGGTGTTTGGATTTAGACATTAGATCTCAGGTTAGATTAATACATAGGTGAAAGAAAACACAGTAGAGATCAAAACCCTTTCACAGTGATAAGAATGACATTACTTATTACTGTTATGTCTTCTAGAATTCTAGGGAGGGTTGGTTTTTGTGGTTTGGTGTTTTTTGTTTTGGTTTTTTTTTGGTAGTTTTTGTTTTGGTTTTTTTTTTTTTTTTTTTTTTGCTAATCCAACCGTGGATTCATTTGAAGAGCTGATGAATTTTTGTCTGTTAGGAATTTAATTCTATCAACATGTATGAATTCTCCTTTTTTTCTTAATCATTAGTGACATAAGAGCAAATTGGTGGATGGATTTATTGCCAGTATGTTAAAAACAAGTAGAAAAATTTACAATAAAACAATAGCTGAACCTATTTATGTGCACTGAGCTAAAACTGGAGTTCAGACGGGA